GATGTATTTCAGTATATGGTTTTTACTGAAGTATTCTGGATAAGTTGGAATAAAGTGCACAGAACACCAGCAGTGAGTGCTTTTGCATGCACTCAATAACCCCATCATAATCTGATTTCTGCAGTTATCTGATTATTCAAATGGTCACATAAACACCATACTCCGATGTAGAAATCCGGTTAAGAAATCTGATAAAGAGAGTTGGATTTAGCTCAGTAATCAGATGTCTCAGTGTTTGTGTACTCTTACTCAGATTTCTTTTGGATTTCTCAGTCTGCGAAACAGACTGCTGTACCGGAAATAAGCAAGATGGCAGCAAAACGCCTTTGGAGTGGCACTGAAACCAACTACGTTATCGACAAAATGAAGAGTTTAAATATTCTTCATTTTCTAGATGAAGTATGTTCATGTTTTTAGGTGAAGTGACTCGAGTTTCACATTATGTTTACATCACGTCGTCTTCTGTGAGTTTATTTTAAAGCAGAAATCCAATTACTGTCTGACTCATGAGTCTCCCATTATCTGATTACTAAAGTGCATATAGACATGTTGATCGGATTACTGACGAAATCTGATTTTCTGCAGTTATCAGATCATTAAGTACATGTAAACGCGGGCATTGTCATATTTTAAAAAGGCTATGGAAAAGCTTTGATTAGTTCTTTGTATGATTTATTTATCTGTCCATCTATCTGTCTGTGTGTCTATCTATCTATCTGTCTGTGTGTCTATCTATCTATGTGTCATTTGCTGAAATAAAATATTAAGAACAGAAGAGAAAAATCCTAAAGGTGAACGAATGTAATGGATGAACATCCAATATGCTACTTTTACTGTGCAGTTTATACAGTATGTATAAAATGTATTGGCCTATGCTCACCCTGATGCACATACACACATTTTACCCCGTACACGTTCTCCACCACCCCGAAATACACACACATACACGTAAGACCTGCATCATATGGACATACAATGCATGATTGGATGAAGCATGTTTATTGAAGTACTGTGTCTCTGAGTGGATGTGGCAGAAGTACACTGATGTGGAGTGCTGCTCTTACGAAGCATCAAAAGCTCTTTGACAGCTAATAGCGCACCTTTTTTAGAATTTGTAGTTTGTGAAACGTGAGTTCCAGGAAGTGCTTCAGTCTAAAAACATTCAGCATTCCCTGAACAGTCAGGCTACAAACACGATTAAATATGTATATTTTTGTTTTTAATACAGGCTTACAAAAACAAATTTTTTAATTTGCTAAAAAGCTCATGATGCAGATTTATGACTCGAGTTATAGGAGTTTAAAACGGCGCCTCATGTATGTTCATAACGTCAGTTAAGCGAACAGCCAATGAGCTGCTCCGCTCACCAACCAGTCAGCACTCAGTTGCAGTAATGCTAGCGTTGTACTGCCTAAAACCCGTTTACTGTAGAGAAAAGGAAACATGCAGGTGAGCTTTCTTTGCTTTTTAAAATGCTTTGCTTTTTCTACTTTCTAAAATGAGGAAGGTTCTGGGCGAGTGATTAGAAACTATTTTAACTTTTCGTTTTCAGCCATTTTGCTCCATTCACCCCCATTCACTGTGGACTTGCTCACGGGCGCCCTCTGCTGTTTGGTTTGGTTTTTGATATAATGGGGGAAATAGGAAGTGGCCAGGCTCCTCATAAATCGACTCTGGCTAAGGCTAGGTGGTCATTGATGAGGTAAACACGTTTCCGCTGTTTTCCGTCGTAACTGCTTCCTTTTGAGTTTTGAGACCCTGATTGGCTCGCGTTTCTTGGAGAAAACCACACGTCGTAATATTTTTATTGGTGAAATAATTCTTCGCCAGCTTTTTTTGTTCTAATTTTCTGTTCCACCTTTAATTGTGCCTAAAGTGCAGTGCTGCACTGTTTAAGGTGGAACGGGAAAATATTGCTGAACGTTGTTTTGTGTCTGAAAGTCATTTGCCTCGTATGTCCGTCTCTCCCACTCCAGTTTTATCTACAGCCGTGAGACGCTACTGGAAGCTAACCGATATCACGAGCCGTTCTCACTGTCAGTTTTAGTGAAGAAGCTGCGGAGCCTCTTGGGTGAGGGAATTAGAATGTTTTGCGCTGTTTGTGTGTCGTGTTGTCTGCATGTCTGTGCATACCTTTATAACGGTAATGACAAATCTAATACCTTAAGAAGAAATTCAGCCGGTTTACTGGACGAACTGGAATATCGCCCACTACCATGTGACGGTAGCCATCACTGCTTCATACATCTTCCTGTACAGGTTGTGCATTTTACACACCACACAGTGTGAATGGTCATCACATTTTAAGCATCTTTAGTCTGGTAGTTCTCAGTAGTTTTGAATTGCGTGTGTAGATTTTTACCTGAATGGTCAAGTCACTCATTCTCCATGGTAGAGACTCCAGCTCAGGACAGCACTTGTTGGGCTGCTAACACTGCTAACGCCCCCCACCAATCCCCACCAATCTAAATACGTCACTTTGATGCTGTGTTTGTTGCGGTAACTCATCTCATGATAGCACCTGAAATACGATTCATAGTTCAACTAATCTGAGTAATTTAATTTCTCTCTCTCTTTCTCGTTCTCCATCCCAAAAGGAGTCCTGGTACCTCTTATCTTACAGTTAAAGTTTTTGTCTTGTGCGAACTTCTTATCTGAATTGGGAGAGAATTACTGTTTTTTTTTGTTTTTTTTTTTGTTTTGTTTTTTTCCTCTTTCTCTCTCTCTCTCTCACATCCACTTTCATTCTCACTGTCTGAAGATTTTGTTTCATTTGTATATTTTAAGATTTGGTCATTAAAAAGTTAGTTGGCATGCTGCCCAGTTGGTCAGGAATACGGCTGGATAAATGCAGTTAGATCTGTGTTTGGATCTCTACAAGTCTAATTAGGAGGTGCTGAAACGGTCCAGCTGAAAAGGATGTTGGGTAATGAAAGAGGAGTGTGCTTAGGTCAGAGGAGGGTGTGTGTGTGTGTGTGTGTGTGTGTGAGAGAGAGAGTGGGTAACAGCTGTTCTCTTGGTCGTACCTGCAGCCCTCACACACCTCCTAATGATGATCTGTGTGTGCGTGTGTGTGTGTGTGTGTGTGTGTGTGTGTGTTCCATAATGATGAATTATTAAAGGAAGTATGTTAATGATAATGTTTCTGTGGAAGAGAGAGAGAGTTTCTTGTAGAAGTGAGATGTCCTTGATAACATTGTGATATCTCACTCATACTGCCTCACTGTATATATGCATCTGTCTCACTGTAGATATACACCGATCAGGCATAACATTATGACCACCTCCTTGTTTCTGCGCTCATTGTCCATTTTATCAGCTCCACTTACTATATAGCTGCACTTTGTAGTTCTACAGTTACAGACTGTAGTCCATCTGTTTCTCTGATACTTTGTTAGCCCCCTTTTACCCTGTTCTTCAGTGGTCAGGACCCCCATGGACCCTCACAGAGCAAGTACTATTTGGGTGGTGGATCATTCTCAGCACTGCAGTAACACTGATGTGGTGGTGGTGGTGGTGTGTTAGTGTGTGTTGTGTTGGTGTGAGTGGATCAGACACAGCAGTGCTGCTGGAGTTTTTAAACACCTCAGTGTCGCTGCTGGACTGAGAATAGTCCACCAACCACTAACTTCATAAACGGCAGTGTGTAAAGTGGATTTGAAGCATTTTCGAGGTTTGAGTTTGTGAGATTTTGGGTTTGTTCAGCTGATGTATGCTTTTTGCTTGTTACCACATGAAGAATTTTTTTTAGGCAGAACTGCCGGACCATGTTTACAGTGTACACCACATGCTGTTCCAGATGATCCTCTGATCAGTTTGTTCACTCTTCTCTTCTATGAGCTCAGTGAATGTGTTGGAGTGAAGCAGTTCGCTGGTTTTGATTTGTATCCTAGACATTATGATGAGCAGGTCTGTGTTGGAGTCAGTGTGGAGCTCCGTACAGCGGAGCACAGCGGAGTGATTAAGCATTTTATTTGTCTCTCTATCTGTTGTTTTTGTCTTTCTGTGTTTGTTATTCTGTTAGTCTGTCTCTGTCGTTTTGTCCATTTTTGTCTCCATCTGTTTCTTAGATTTATTCTGTCTGTCTCTGTGTATTTGTCTGTCTGCCTTTCTGTTTCTCTCTGTCTCTGTTCATCTGTTTATCTGCCTGCATCTATCTACCCTATGTCTGTCTGTCTATCTGTCTCTGTCTGTCTGTCTGTCTATCTGTCTGTCTGTCTACCTATCTATATGCTCTCTCTCTCTGGGCAGAAGTGTAGATAAATATGTTTACCTGCATCTTTTCTTTCACATTTTTTCTTGCACATTGTGTATTTTCTGTTTGGTTGTCTGTTTATTCTGGATTTATTTGATTTATGTTCATTATTTCTTATTTCATTTTTTTGCTATAAACTGTTCACGTCTGTCTGTCTGTCTGTCTGTCTGTCTGTGTGTGTAATACAGTAATTTGTTTGGGTTGTTTGCTCGTGTGTGTGTAATATGGTAATTTGTTGTTTGGGTCGTTTGCTCTCAGTAGTTGTGTGTGTGTGTGTGTGTGTGTGTGTGTGTGTGTGTGTGTGTGTGTGTGTGTGTGTAATATGGTGATTGGTTGTTTGGGTTGTTTGCTCTCGGTAGTCGTGTGTGTGTGTGTGTGTGTGTGTGTGTGTGTGTGTGTAATATGGTGATTGGTTGTTTGGGTTGTTTGCTCTCGGTAGTTGTGTGTGTGTGTGTGTGTGTGTGTAATATGGTGATTGGTTGTTTGGGTTGTTTGCTCTCGGTAGTCGTGTGTGTGTGTGTGTGTGTGTGTGTGTGTGTGTGTGTGTAATATGGTGATTGGTTGTTTGGGTTGTTTGCTCTCGGTAGTCGTGTGTGTGTGTGTGTGTGTGTGTGTGTGTGTGTGTGTGTAATATGGTGATTGGTTGTTTGGGTTGTTTGCTCTCGGTAGTCGTGTGTGTGTGTGTGTGTGTGTGTGTGTGTGTGTGTGTGTTTTAGTGATATCTATTTCTCGTTGTTTTTGGCAGCCACCAGCACTCCTTTGTGGTGTGGACCACCCACTCTCTGCTTGCTGCATCTCCAACCTATCACCTGACAGGGTAATGCACCAATCAGCTGCCTGTGCTGTGTCATGTGACTGTGACTGTGCACCGCCCCTCCTGTTGCCATAGTAACCCTTCAACATCTCAGTGTCAGGGTGTATCCTCGTTGTCTTGAGCACATTCCTTCCCTCCTCCATTATCAAACCGATCCATCCATCTTGAGTTTTAACGTTCGAATAGTATTATTCAACCTCAGCAGCCCCATCAGGAGCGACAGAGACGAGGGATGGCAGATCGGTGTGGCTGCATGTCTGTCTCAACAGGTATTGTTAGTGGGCTGATGTCAGCTGGATGAGATATCAGAGTTGGAAAAAAGAGTCCCGTAGCATTTCTAAGTGATGTGATGTTAGTATGATATATATCCTACTTTTAGATGCTCATCTCAGGCGAAGCGCTTCCGTTCAGAGCAGCTTATTGTAAGAAATCTTAGATCGGTATCAGCCGATACTCAAGGTTTCGATATTGGTATTGGAAAAGAAACTGTCTGTAACAGAAGCCTCCTGTCCGCTTCCAGTGGTGCAGTCAGGGCCTGGATTGAAGCCAAAACCAGGAAACATTACAACACTCTTATAAGATCTGTGAGTCCATCTGATTACAAATTTAATGTAAATTTAAAATGAGCTCCTCACACAAATAAATAAAATAAGTGGCGTATTTATGTTGTTGTCTTAAGTCCAAATTGTGCTTCTGCTTCGGTGAATTTGCAAAGAAATACAAGTATCATGCGCAGATGTTGACATCTGCCAGCATGTTTATGGGAGAACCAGAATATACAGAAAAGGACAAAGTCGTAGAGATTAGAGAGAACAAACAAAGTGCTGTAATTATTTCAAAGGCAGGTGCACAATTGTAAAATCTCACTTCTTCAGCCTCCGTCACACCAGACAGCCGATCATATTATGCCTCTGTTCACCAGCAGGCAGGGAGAAATATTTAGCTCTGAGAATCTCCCTGATAGACGTGGACAATAGGACAATATCTTAGTCACCTGCGAGTGCCTCAGGGCCTCCCTGTGTCTGTAATTCCTGACTGGGACTTGGCAGAATTGGCATATCAGTGCCTAGTTTTCATCCTAGTGTCAAGATCATCTTAACTGGTAGAGGGAGTGTTCAGTGTGATCTTCACTCTATCATTTAAGAGTAATCTTTGGGCCAAGATGGAAGTGCAACCCTATTTGTGTCTTCTGTTTGTGTTTCCTCATGTAGCCTGTGGGTTTCCAGCTTTTCCCTTGGCTGTAGTGAAGAAGGAGAAGGGAAGGGGTTAAGAGCAGGAGGGAGCTTTGTGTTAGAGCAGAGACGTTGTGCTCTTGTGGTTTGTAACGTATCCTTAGTGTTGGTGAGCGTTTTCTCAGCCTATGAGGAAACATATGTCTGTCTGTGCTGTTTGTGTGTCTCTGTGTGGCAATTCTCCTAGAACAACTTTACATCTAGAGCTTCTAATCTGCTGTTAAGCCTTAGACGCGCTACACAACACTTAAAGTTTAAACAGGTTATAAAAATCTGACCGTTTGAGTCCTCTGTGTATTTTTTTTGTGTGTATGAATGATATCAGGGATCACACACTGCACAACCTTCTTAAGTTCTCACCAAATCAAACTCACTGAACACGTGAACACACTTTGTCTTTTCACCCTTTTTTTTAAAATTCTTGCTCTATTTTCTTCTTTCACGCTCTGTTTTTATTGGCTCTTGGATGAGTTCGTTCAGATTGACCAGTATAGACTTCAATATTATGCTCGGGTCAAAAATATCAAATATGCTCGATTTACTCCGACTGGTCTGAAACACGATCAGGATCACGATACAATCAGTACAGATGGAACAGATTAAAATTGGTCTAAAATTGGGGTAAAAAAAGTGTAACCTCTGCTTTAAGTAATCTCAAGTAAACTTGCTTGTGCATCTTGCCCATATTAGCAACTGTGGGTCCAAGCAGATTTTCTTTGTAGGAAAAATGAATGGCGTTTTGAAAATCGCCTCAGTCTCGTCCTTTGGTACACAAAAACATTCCAAACTTGGTCTGTTTTGTCCAGTGCAAACTCCCAGATTGTCACTGGATATTTTGAATTACGAGCTTGTTATGGAAACAATTTATGAATGTACTACATACATGCAGCAAACAACCTAACGCTCCTGTATTCTTTCATTCTATTTCAGTTAGTCAGCAGTATTTTATACCAATACCAGCTTCTCAAACTACAGCCTAAAACTGCCAAAGTGTCTTAACCACCACAAGTAACAAAGCTTCCTAGTTTGTGAGGTGAATTTTGGTGAGGTTATCAGTCTTATGGTGTCAGTTTGCTGCAGTGCCAGATTGCATGTAGCAGTATTATGACTCCTTAATGAATTCAGAGTCTCCGGTGAAATTTGGGTTTCAGGAGAAACAGAGTTTGAAACAGTTTTGTTTTCTACAGGATGCAACAGCACAGATTTAAAAAATGATTTTTGTTTTTCCCCCATCAGAAAAAAACTGCCAGAGTTTTGTAAACATGCTTAATGCTTACAAATGAAGATGATAAAAATAAGTTGGACAAAAATATTGGTAAAATTTGGGCTTCAAGAAGGAGGTAGGCGATAGGGCAAAAATATGACATTGTGGTATTTCAGGAAATGTTCATGATACACGATATGTCACGACATTTATTTTTTCAGACATCTGATCAGTTGGAACAGAGGAAAAAGAACGAGAGAGTTTTTAAAATAATTTAATACTATATTTTTAAAAATACTGTGAAATTGTAAACATTTCACATTATTTTGCATACTGTGTTGCACTAAATCGAGTTAAACAGGGCTAATTTTGCTCTCTTTACTTAATGAAACTTGCAGTTGGTCAGTGTTCTAGAAGTATGACGATATCCACAATAAAAGCGTATTGTATTGTAACATAATCGTGACATAATATCACAATAACAAGATATATTGTCATGTTGTCCAGCCCTGCTTTAAGATGGCTGCTACTGTACTAGTGCTATAGTTATACTATCAGAGTCAGTTTAAGGTGAGCTTGGCCACTTCCTATTACTCTCCCTATACCACAAACATGACGGCAGAATGCTACAGTGCACCTGCAAGCAAGTCTCGCATGAATGACCATAAATGAGGCTAAACGGCTAAAATGAAGAATTAAACCCTTGTTTTTAGTAATTTGTGAGGATGTATTCTATAAAAGACTTACCAGTGTAGTTTGTTTTTCCACAGCACAGTTTTGAGCAGTAGGATGCTACCACAGCTGCTGCTGAGTGCTGATTGGTTGGCAGGCTAATCAGCTTATTTGTACTCTAAGATATAACAGCAGTTTTGAAATGTTGCATGTATTATTTTATGATTATATAATACTTTATTGCATTTTTTTCTATCAAAAAAATGATTGAGCATTTACAAACTATGAATTTGCACAACGGCCCATTCGTTTTGCCCTGTATCGTCTAATAAACCTGGAAGACTTCATTGAATCGTGGTTTTCCTCACTACACGTTCTCTGGTACTGCTTCATTTATACAACACCCTTTGGTCCATTTTGTCTGTTGGAGGACTTTAAGCTTCCATTACTCATCAGCTACATTAGCCTGGTAGCTCCAGTGCAGAACAGACTTCAGACACCAAACATGTCTTTGCTGATCATTTTGGCTGAGAGCAAAACTGTGAATTATTGTTGTTTAATTATTCCCAGTTCAAAAAAGAAAAAATAAAGAAAACTTTGCTTTGTGACGTGGCGGCTCCTGCCATAAATCTAGACATCAAAGCAGTTCTTCCAAAGGCCGTTTCTTCCTGCTCTCTCTCTCTTTTTTCATTCTTTTCCATCGTTTCTTGTGATTCTCATTCTTTTTTTTTATCTTTTTTCCAGATTCTTGTTTTTAGAGCCTTGAATGGCTGCAGTCAGTGATTGATGCTGAAGAAAAGACGAAAAATAAATGTTCCTTTCGTCTTTCGTGCGTGAACGATGCAGCCTCGTTATAGATGATGGCGCTTTATTGTCGGAGGAAATGAACGATGACTCTTCTGACTGTAGCCTCTTTTAGCATTAGCTCCAGCACTGATGCTCCATTTAGGCACTCAAGGCTGCACTAGCTGATCACGATCCGTTAGATCAGGCCAGGCCTTAGTAGCCAATAATGATGATGGGACGGCTTTTTGGCTTATTTGGTGGCTTCGGTTTGCTGCTGGTGGGTGAAGACGGTCAGTGACTTTATGCCACATTAGAACCATCTTTTTTTTTTTGTTTAGCGTAGCAGAGCAGACAACGGAAAGACGTTTGTATCTGTGTTGCAGCTGAGCTTTGTTCACTTGTATTAGTCTCTGTTTTGTGTTAGTGATGAACTGTTTTACTGTAGATTGGTGAAGTTCAGATTTACCCACAATGCTGTGTGTTTGTGCTTGCCTGTAAGTAGTGTGTGTGTGTGTGTGTGTGTGTGTGTGTGTGTGTGTTAGGGGTGCAACAGTTGGCCAACACAGTTTATTAGTAACAGCTCTGAGAATGGAAAAAGAAGTGTTGAAACTTGTTTTGATTGCTCTGAAGCTTATAGTTATATTTTGTAGGAATGTCTAACAGTGACCACTATTTTTACATCTTTGATTAATTATATTATTATTTTACATCTTATGATTAATAATTTTTTTTTACTATTAAATAGTTTTCTTTGTGACCGAAACTGAATGAAATACAGTATATTAAGTGATATTTTTAGCCACATGGTTTGAAGAGTCTGAAATACAGATACATCGATACAATTTTATTTTTTCTTTCAGACCAGTGTACATTTTTTAGTACTTGCCAATACCAAGTTCAATACCATACCGAGTAACTTATTTCAAATTAAGCAGTTGTCAGTGTAAATGAGTGTAATGCACCTTAACAGTTAAATCACTGAAATCTGTCTGATTTTAAATGTTGTACATGAGCTAGCTATGCTACGTTAGTTCCTTCAATTGAGTAGCATTGCAGCACAGAGGAGTAGGTTTTGTTCCTTGTCAGCTGTAAGTGTGTTTCATAGTTTTAAACTTGATCTCTCGTTTTCAACAGCAGTTTCTGTAGAACCCTGGCAGCAGGAATTATATCCGAGGCCAAGTCATCCGAGGAGCTCACTTGTCGAATTTTACGTCTGAAATATCAGTATCAGATCTGTAGTTGAAGCTCCTCTAAATCAAGACATACACTGTGACATTTAGCATTTTTATTTATTTATTTATTTATTTATATATATATATATATATATATATATATATATATATATATATATATATATATATGTATAAGTGTGTGTATGTATATACAGCAGATGTACGTCTACAATAGCTTATCGCACACCCAGTACACAAACTATGGCGCTATAATGATGTCTTAACTTGTACACTGACTTTGTTGCTCATTTGACTCTTCTCTGTAGATCTCTGGTGGAGGATGATGATGCTCATATGAAGGTTTCTCTCGGCTGTGGTGAAATGGGTCTCTCTGCCCACCTGCAGGCCTCAAAAACGGGCAACACGCGCTTCTTCACCAGTAACACACACAGCTCAGTCGTCTTACAGGTAAGCGTGTGTTCATGTGATGTTTTGTTTAGCGGTAAAAGCTACACTCACGAGCCACATTATTAGAAACCCCTATCTTGTAGCTCCACCTTGCCGATGGATCATTGTGTGTTGATGCCTGGTTTATGTTTACCGTCTTCTAGCCCTTAGTCGGTGGTCAGTGTCTGATCACAGAGCTGTTCTCGATCGTATATTTTTTGGCTGTTGGAACATTGTGAACCTAGCAGATGCTTATACAGGATGGTGAATAGGATAAAATAGGATGCTACGTGTTGTATGCTGTAATTTCAGTTAGAGCCTGACTGGTTGGATGAGAAAAAGCAGCAAATATTGACAGCCCACAGTTTTGTCTATATCTGGAAAAGTATCAAATATAATGTGTTGAAAATTCCTGGCTTTTTTAGTCAGTAATTACTGAATGATATAAAGGCTAAATCATGTATGTATGTATGTATGTATGTATGTATGTATGTATGTATATCTATGTATGTATGTATGTGTTCATGAGTATGAATATGACTCACAACCCATTGAGAGTGCCCAGTAGAGGAAGTGAATGTAAAGTAGCAGTGTTATCCACTACAGTGACCATTTATGAGTTGAAAAGGAATGAAAAGTGCCCTTCTCTGGAGACCACACACGTCAGTGGGTGGCTAAAAACAAAACAAAATGGCACTAAATTATTGGTTGTAAATATTGGCTGTAGTTTCAGTAAAGGATCAGTAATACTAACTACATTATCTGATTTATCCGAAGAATATCTTTCACCACTAATTAAAGTGAATTCTAATGAATCCAAAGGCAAGAGTGAGTCACGACCGTCAGATCAGTGCATCGTGATGCTTGGATGCATTTTCACACCCTGTGAGAGTTCAGGTTTTACTCAGATGAAGAAAAGGGATTTTTCAAAGTCACATAAATCAGTGGGGTTTGTTGTTCTTCCAGTGTTTTCTCAGTGTTTCCAGAACGCCGGTCCAGCGTTAAGAGCAGGTCTGACTCTAATTAAACGCTGTGTCATGATGTGCAGTGGGCAGAACACAACCATCTGCCCGCTTGGGCACACTGCCACAGGACACACGCGTGTGTGTGAGTGTGAAGGTCATCGCAGTGTAGCCTCGTTTCCTGGCACACACGCGTAACCTTCATCATCATCATCATCATCATCGTCGTCAGCAGCAGCAGCAGCTCTACACGTGAGAAAATTCATTAGTACCTGTCAGCAGGTCACCTGGCAGCCGTGTGTGTGTGTTTGTGTGTGTGTGTGTGTGTGTGTTTTCCCTCAGGCTCGTCGTGAAGTTCACTGAGTGCACGTCAACATGCAGTAACACACACACTCAGACATGCACTGCCTGTCCTTGCATCGTCATTGGTAGTGACAGTTGGTGTTGCCATGACGAGGTCGCGCAAACGATCGCCATGACAGCAACATTGACAGCTGTCACTGTCATCACAGACAGAGAGGAGGAAAAAGACAAACAAACAAAGGAAAAACAAAGCAACAGCCTCGGGTTCTGAGGGAGCAGAGGACACAGGGGGTGCGAAAAATATCCGATTCTCAGACTCGTGGTTTTTTCTCTGGTTCATCCAGTATAGTGGTTGAAATTCTTAATCAGTCTATCATTACTGTTGCTGGTATGCCACAAGTAAGTGTGGGTAACATGACATACAAACATCGCAAACCACACTAAAGTGGTTTAGTGTCGCTCGACAAAAGAAAAAGAATTGTGGTTGACAGATGTCACAGTGCTGTATGCTTTCATAATCCTGTGCCAGCAACAATGACGATGGACCAGAAAATCATCTGTAGTTTCTATGAAAACAGTAAAACCACACAGAACAATCTGAAAACAACTGCTATGATTTTAAGCTGCAGGGTTGCCACGGCAACCAGAAAAACTGCTTGTTTTCCACACGGATGTGTTTCACTCACGAGTTTGTTCTCCGTCACACGGGGTTGCCAGATTTGGTTTTCCCAAAATTTCCGATTAGTCTGGAAGTGCAGTGCAGGGGGACGTTATGCTGTAACGGGATGCGTTTTCTGCTTGGACTGCTTTTTAAAGTAATCACAGTCGCAGAAAAAGGTTTGAAAATAAACACATCGTCTTATAAATGTACATTGGTTCCAGTTCTGAATGGCTGGCGACTCGTTCTGTTTCTGAACGCAGCGGAGCAGCAATAAAGTAAGCGCAGCCGTACATCGTGACCATCTCAACAATCCAGAACATAGAACTTGAGTTGCTCCCAATCAGAGTGTGTGACAAGGTCTGTAACACCCTAGCAGACACTAATTTTGCCTCTTTTACGTCTTTTTTTTTTTGGAGCGACGCTTGTCGTCTGGACTATAAATTGACCTTAACATTAAGCTACTTTAGCTGAGTGGCTGAGTGAGGATTGTTTGTTTCAAAATGAAAACATAACAGATCCTCGATCACTTACCTCTGTTTAGTGTGTCTTATCTGAATAGCCCACTTTGTTTTTGAGGCAGTGGACATTTTTTTGGCCTTAGACTAACATGGACCAGCTGGTACTGACAGTGTGAATGACTGTAATATTTTCATAATTCATAAAGCACTGCCTCATGATCAGAAGTACGAGTGTACAAAACGCACGAGACAGATTACTTTAGAAATTTGATGAAACTGAAGTTGGCATCTTAGTCAAATTCCCCGTTCCACCTTAAATGGTGCAGCAGTTATATTCTGGCTTGTGCACAGGTACCAGAATGTATGTGCTGCTCTGTTTAAGGTGGAATGGGAAATGACAAACAAACAAACAGCTGATGAATAAGAAGCCAACTTCAGCCTTTTATATATTGACGTAAAACAATATTTAGTACTGTTTCTGCTGTTCAGTTTCATATCTCCATAATGGTAACTTTACAGGAGAAGGAAATAACATATTTTACTTTCAGTGTAAGTCAGTGGAACCAGCTGTTTTTCCTAGTCATTTTGGGTCATTTCTTTTAGTCCATTTAACATGAAATTTACACACAATGAAAAGAGCAACAGCCATTTTCACATTGTCGAGAACTGAAAAATGAACAAAATGGAGATCTAAGGTTTTGTTCCAACAGCAACCATTATTCGTGCTTAAGCAAACCTGTTTTTGTTACTAAATCTATGCACACTTCCCACGACTGCTCTCTAAAAAGATTCTGAATGGGTTCACAAAACCCATCATAATCAGGTGTTCATATGTGCTCAACACAACACTGACAACCCCATGAAGGTGCGGAGACAGTTTCAGTGGTGTTTTGATGAAGACAGAGCCGTATCATGTCTTTTCTACTGAGCGTGCGTGAGAGAGAGCAGCAGCGTTGATGGTGTCGACGCTCTGCGTGAGATTGTGTGTTGGGGGATTGATGGAGTTTAATCAGCGTTTAAACTGAGCTGTGTCTTCACACAATTACTGCCAGTTTAATCAAAGTTTAATTGAATCAATACTAATCAACAGAGATTTATCACAGCAGCACTGTGTGTGTGTGTGTGTGTGTGTGTGTGTGTATGCGTGTGTGTGTGTGCGCGTGTGTGTGTGCGTGTGTGCGAGTTGAATTGTGTGTTCTTATTCTCAAAGAGGCTTTGCGTTCATCATCAGAGGTGGAGCAGAATGCATGTGCACTCTTTGACCTGTATGGTAGTGAAGTAGCTCTGATGTGCTCAGAACTGTAGAGTATTAACACTTAGCGTTAATGTAGACCTGCTCGTTCTCTGCTTTTCTTTCTGTCTCCACTGTTCCTTTTTTCTTAGGCTTTGCAGAAATGGTAAAAGAAAGGAAGAAAAATGGTATCATGGCACGTGAAATGATCTTAAATGTAGTCGTTGTAGCTAACACTCCTTAAAGTTTATTAGATTTCACTTTTTCTAGTTTTTTTTTCTTGCTGTATATAATTTTAACAAGTAAAACTGTCTCAGTGTAGTAAGATATCAGTAACAATTTAAAAAATAAATATACTTACGATAAGTTTAGTCATTTAACACATGGAATATTAGATATATCGACTAAATGTAAGATCGTTTAACCTGCCAAGATACTATTTTTCTTGCTTTCTCTGCTTTTTCTTTTTTGATTCTTTTCCTACTTTCTTTTTTCTTTCTTGTTTCTTTTATTACTTTTTCTTTCTTTCTTTCTTTCTTTCTTTCTTTCTTTCTTTCTTTCTTTCTTTTTCTTTCGTTCGTTGATTATTTTTACAAGTATCCTTTTTTCTTTTTTCTTTCATCCTTTTTTCTGTTCTTTCTTTCTCCTTTTCTTCTCCACCCCCACCCCCCTTGTGTATATGAATGAATACTCGCCTGTTTTGCCTCTAAAACATATAAAATAGCTTTTATTTCTTAAAAACATACACCCTCACATTCAATACACTGTGGTAAATACCAACAGCATCAGAAATTTCAATTATATTATATTTTTACTATTGTTATACTGTATTTTTGGCCAAAGTGCCAGTGCTGGCTTAATCTCTGGTACAGAATCGTACAGCACTAATGCTTCATCATACACGCGCACACGCACACACACACACACCACATCCCATCTGTGTGACTCAGACAGATGTGTAGACCTGTAAGCATTTATTACAGTGATGGGTTAATGGGGTATTTAAAATAGAAGATTACTATGATTCTGCTCTACATTTACGTGTGTGTGTGTGTGTGTGTGTGTGTGTGTGTGTGTGCGCATGTGTGTGCGTGTGCCTGCGTGCATGTGTGTTTGAAAAAATGTGTACATTTAGGGTTTTTTTTCTGTAAGTTAAAAAATGCTTTAGAAAAAATATCTTAAAACTGATAGAAAATAAGCAGCTAAATTTATCAGAATGAACATTTAAGAACGAAACTCCTCGGTAAGTGAAAACCTTGGTAACTGAAAGCTGCAGTAATGAAAGCCGCGGTAAACAAGTCCCGATAACAAAAAGCCTCTGTAACTAAGAGCCACGGTAATTAAAATCTGCGGTAGCTAAAAACCACAAGAATTAAAAGCCCCAGTCACAAAAACCCTGGCAACCC